GTGTGTGTGTGTGTGTGTGAGAGAGAGTGTGTGTGTGTGTGTGTGTGTGTGTGTGAGAGAGAGTGTGTGTGTGTGTGTGTGTGTGTGTAGTGTTTAGTGTGTCTATAATGCCTCCGCCCTTGACATACAGGCACACATACTTACTGACAGATCAATATATCAGACAGGCCACTGACCCAAAACCTAGTGAACTCCGAAGATTCTCAAAAGTAACTGATTTTGAACGTACTACAAAGGCAGCAACTCATACAAATAGCTTGCAGAAATCTGACTTGCAATGGAGTTCAATAGAATTAGACACTAGTATGTTACTAATCTAACAATGTGACATTCTAAAAATCATACAAATAATTTTTAATCCCTGTTATTTATAATTTATCATTTATTTAGTTATGCTTATTTATAGTACATTAAATTATAATTATAAAGAAGTATACGTTTATAACATTTATACATTATAATTATTTATAATTAAAATAAAATAAAATAAATATACATATATATATCTATGAATTTTGCTGTTCAAATTGTTCCTACACCCTTGCATTCTGGGATTTTTTTCCCGTGTGTGTTGCAATGTGATATGGATGCATATATGTCTTGAAATGCTGCCTACGTAGGGCACTCACTAGGTTTTGGAACAGAGCCATTGTGAATTTGAATTGCACATAATATCGTTGACTGTGTACGTCACACACTCACACACTCACACACACACTCACACACTCACACACACACTCACACACTCACATAGACCGTGAAATGAATGGGTGTCTATGACTGTAAGAATTACTGCAAGAATGACACTTCAAAAATTATTTAAAAAATATAAATAGATAATGTCTAAATAAGTATCCAAATATATATTTTCTAAGCATAAGATAGTATTCATGCACAGAACACTTATCAAAATGCTTATTAATATTGGAACTGCATCCAATATCATTTCATCAATCTGATAGTATAACTCTCTTTCACACACACACACACACACACACACACACACACACGAACTAGAAGAGCCTGCTAATCCTATTACAACAGAGGATCCTCTGGCTATACATTATCACTTAATACAAACCATCTCTCTCTCTCTCTCTTAAATATAAATATTAGTTTATATGCATCGTTCTATTCATACATTATTAATACATTCCTTTCGGAATTCCCCGTAGCTTAAAAGCGGGAATCCCGAGACGTTATCCAGACCTGTGCACCACACCTGTGCATCCCTACAGGCCCCCGTAGCGTGAGCGGTGACGCTCTAGCGGTGTCCCGTATGCTGCCGGGGCTCCGGAGCGTGCCGGGGGGCTCTCGGATGCTAGGACACCTCGCTGCCGAACACCTCCAGCACCAGCGGCGTCAGCTGCATGCTGTGCTCGGGCTGGAAGGACAGCGAGCGGTACTGCTTGGAGTGCTCCTCGCTCAGGCTGCGCAGGTCCGCCAGCTTCTGGATCATCTTGGCGTACAGCAGACGGCCGCCGGGGTGATGGATCCGGATGTACGCCTGCAGGACGTCACACAGACGATCCTGGAGCGCCTCGATGCGCACGTGGTCCTGAACACCGGGCCGATCTGCTCCAGAAAAGACCAATTCGTTTATATAGCCAATGCCTTAATTCCAAATGAGGATCATTACAATACATGCGATTCATACTGAAAAGAAGTTCACCAGAAAACAACTAGTACCAAAAATAATTAATAAAATAATTTAAAATAATTCCAATTTATATTTACATTTATGCATTTAGAAGACGCTTTTATCCAAAGCGACTTACAGTGCATTCATTTATTATATATTATATACATATTTATATATATATTTTTTATTTATTTATTATTAATAGTTAATTTTATGCATCAAATTA